AATATTATATATAAGATGAAGAGGGAGGAAAAGTGGTCTCCTTGGAAACTCCTCAGAGTCTGATGTAATCAAAATGGATTTGAAAGAACAGATGCCTAAATTCTAACATTCAAATCCTTTGTTTCATTTTTTGATTCAGTTCCTTGATTGGCTGAATGTACATGCAGATACTTTTTTCCCATGTTATGGCTGGATGCCACACAAGCACATGGAAGCAAGATTTCTGTTTTTAGAATTTAACGATTTCCTGATGCATTATGCATTTGCAGCATTATTTAAACAGAGCTTTGGCATAACTGGTTGTTGATCTCTTCTATCTTTAGTTATCCAACAAAAGATCTAGAGCAGATTTCAGCGTATGTGTATTTTAAATGAGGTCAGATGCACCATATTTGAGAGACAGGTTGTTGTTGTTGTTGTTTTGCAGTTTCTCTGAAGCAACACTTTTATTGCAGACTTTCCAAATAAATTTCCAAGTCTGTAAAAACAACAGTCTGTTTCAAAATGGATCCATTTCTTATCTTCCAGGAGCAATGTTCCAACTGTAAGGTAATGAAAAGAAAAATAGCAATTTAGATGCTCTGGTTATTTGCATCCACCATTTGGAAGGACTTGTTGATGCTTTCTCAGTGTTAATTGTCAAATTTCAGATTTTTTCCCCTACCTCTAGAAATTGATTATTTGAAAGTATATAAAGTTCATAAAGTTAGTCCTTGACTTAAAATCATTTGTTTAGCAACTGTTCAAAGTTATAATGGCACTAGAAAATATGACTTATGATCAGTCCTTGCATTTACGACTGTTGCAGAATTCCTGTGGTTACATGATAAAAAATTCAGCCCTTGAAAACTGGCATGTATTTATGATGGTCCCATAGTCATGTGATCACCATTTGTGACCTTCCCAGCTATTTCTAAAAGCAAAATTAATGGAGGAAGCTAGGTTCATTTAATGACTTAACGGCTGCAATGATTTGCTTAACAATTGTGACAAAATTTCATAAAATCAGGTGTGACTCACTTAACACTTGTCTTGTTTAGCAATGGCAATTCTGGTCCCAGTTGTGATCATAGGTTGAGGATACAGGGTGAGAATATGTGCTGGATTCTGAGGTCGATATACAATCTCCCATTTTTGTCCAGAGTAACTACAGTTTTAAACTGTGAGGACTCCAACAGAAGGATGATGGACAGTCTAAAATGGCTTCCAAAGGCTCATTAGAGCTTCAGTTAATTTCCACCTGATCACAGCCTCCTTATATCCCTTACTTTTCACCTTGCTGCCTTTTTTCTCCTCTATTTTTTCTATGGGGTTCAGGGAGACCATTGTCAATAGTTGGTGTATGGCTCTTGACATTTTCTGCTTTTCTCTTCTGGAAACCTCTAGAATTCAAACATCCACCTTGAATTTTTTGACAAGGATTATGATTACAGCATATGGCTAAAGCATTTTTTTAAAACAGGTTTTTCCATTTTAGGGCTCACACTTTAACTTTCCCATGTTTCCAAAATACTGTGTATGAATTAGCATTTGGAGTTGACATGGATGCTGTAACTGCCCCAAAATACAGCAGATAAATTATTGATGGGATAATCTAATGCTGGTTGAGTAGCACCATTACTAAAATCACTGTACTGTACTGTACTGCAGGCTTTCAAACCTAACTAAAAGTGCTGGTGATGACCTCTAAAGCCCTATATGGCATAGCATCAGATTACAATAGATACTACGTTATCCAGGCTGAGTCTCCCCAGTCAGATGGAGCATCATGTGAAAAACTGCTTAAGAGTCCATCCTATAGTTGAAATGTGGTGAACATTACAAGCCATCTCTGTGGTAGCCCCTTTACTTTTCGACATTTTAGAAACTTACCGTATATGCCGGCGTATTAGGTGACCCGGCGTATAAGACGACCCCCATCTTTATAGCCGGGCCGCATTCCTAGAACGTCGTCTTATACGCCGGAAACTACCAGTATTTCCGGCGTATAAGACAACTCGGCGTATAAGACGACCCCCGTCTTTGGTACCGATTTCAGCGCTCACTGAAGTCGTCTTATACGCCGGCATTTACAGTACCTTCTTTCCTGGCCTTCTGTGAAATTGTTACAGTAATACTATGTACTGTTAATCAGGACTGAATGTTTCTTGCATTCTAGTCATCTGTTAGTAGTGTCTTCTTTATTGTTCTTATTTTCCATTGTTGTGAATTTTTCTTGCATTCTAGTCATCTGTTAGTAGTGTCTTCCTTATTGTTCTTATTTTCCATTGTTGTTATGTTGTATGTTGCCTAAGGTCTACTGACAGTGGCAGGTTACAGAAACTGTGAAATACACTTTCTTGCATATATATCTAAAAGCAAGCATTAAGAAAATCAGCATGTTATAGTGTTAAAGCTGCTGGGCTAGGAGTAGGGAGACCCAGGTTCAAGTCCTCCCTTAAACAGAGAAGCCAACTGGATGACTTGGGTCTGTTTTCTCTTCAGCCCAAATCAGTGTCAGACTTTGCAAGCAGCTGACTGAAAATCAAAACTGATCATTGCATCCTGCATTGATCAACTTCATTGTAGGAGTAAACAAGATCAGTGCAAAACATGTTGATTATTGAGAAGAAAAATATACGTATGTATGTATGTACGTAACCTTCGGATTTGCCTATCTTTGCAAGGGAAGGTTGTTGATATATCCACAGCTTGAACATAATTTTCAGGTTTTTCTTGTGTTCATATATACACTTGAGGGATCCATCACCTTTAATAGACTAAATTGGTCTATTCTGTAAACGCTTCTATTCTTCCATTGATTTCTAGGTTAGCATTTCTAAAACAGCAGCATGTTCTTAAGATTTAAAATAGAGAGGGAAAAAAACCTAATAGCCACTGACTGCAAGGTGACAAATGACAGAATGTGTATCGTATGATGCTTTAGCTTGCATGTATGTGACAAAATGTTATCTTATTATTGCTCTCAACTATAGTGAAAGGAATAATTTCACAACTTGATCTTTGATATTTCTTTTAAAAAAGTTGTATTCACCAAAACTGAATGGTCTCTAGATCCCTAGATTAACCCTGCTACAAGGAACAGGAGCATTAACTCTTTATATCTGAAATTAGCGTTCAGAAATATTACATAAGAAACATAGATTATTTCGGCCAAATGTTCACTAAACTTTATTAGGACTTTAACAAACCATCCCAAGATGCAAACTGTGATTTATTGCTGACCAATACCAACAAATGATTTATTGCTGAACAAAACCAATAAACAAGAGAATACAGATTGTATGCACTAGTATTTTTTTCAGCATAGGTTATTTAAGTCAAAATATATGTAACCTTGGTCTTTGAATCAATGGGGAAAAATGAATGCTGTAGATGGATTTTCAAAGGAGGGCAACCTGTTGATTTGCAGATGGTAACTGGTTTATGATACTTAAGACATTTGACCTTTGATTATGCTAGCATGGTACTCATGTGATTTGGACTCCTGAAGCAACATCTCAAAGAGCTATTGCTTTTCTCTTCCGGCAAAATTTTTTAGCAGTCTCTATTGGTAGCACAGAAATGTTTCAAGCGGGATCCTTTATTATTTTCCTTTATGAAATTTCAAAAACATTGACTTTCAGCCTACACCATGATAGTTTACCTTTTGCAATCTGTCAGGCTGATTCTTCAGAATAGGGAAGAATTAAAATAGCTGTAACTAAGACAAAGCAAGTTAGAAATCATTGGAAAATTTAGGTTGGAAGGAGAAACTGCCATGTTACAGGATGGAGAAGAGCTTAATGATATGCAGACTACCAGCAAGATTTGTTACCAGCCTAATAGGGTTTGGTTTTATAATCAAAATTAACTGAAATGCATTGAAACTCCCACATTTTTTAAGGTAACTTTATCAGCTAAATCTTGATATGAAGATTTGGTCTATTACTGGGTCAAAATCTTAAGGGAAGAAAACAATTTTAATTGATATCCAGACCTCTATCAAAGGACATTGTACTGATTACCCCCATCACACCATCCAACAATAAAAACAGACCCATGTTTTCCTAACATTACTCCCCTTACGATTCTACCACACTAGAAAAGTATGTTTGCCAAGTGCCTTCCAGATGCAAGTTCTTAGGATTTATGGGAAATAGCATCCTAGTTCTTTTATTGATCCTCTGATCATTAGTTAAAGACTTGAACATTTAAAAGAAGGGAGATTTTTAAAAAGCACTTTATGAATTTGTATTGCCAAATGGCATGCAGGAAATGGTCCTCAATGTTTTCTAATTTTTCCTATAACCTTGAAACTTAAAAAGTCCGTTGGTTTGGATTGAGTTACAACATACATCTCCTAAAATATTTTCTCCTAACTAACCATGATCATAATGGAATTTCAGGAAGTTATATGGTCTTGGATTGGCTATATAAATGTGGTGTGAATGCAGAATGAAAAGCTGAATCAGCTGTTTCTTGATTTAGAACAGTGGTTCTCAACCTGTGGGTCGGGACCCCATTTGGGGTCGAACGACCATTTCACGGGGGTCGCCAAACAATGCAGTCCGCCATTTTTCCCCCTTTTCCTTAGCTGTGCTACTCCCTTTTATTCTATTGGCTTTTGAAAGCCAATAGAATAGACTCTCTTGAATAGAGTCTAATTCTATTGGCTTTCAAAAGCCAATAGGAATTGTCCAGGCTGTCTCTGCCCTGCTGAGCCCGTCAAAAGTCCCATTCTGCAAACGGTGCTGCACCAGTTGAGTAGTCCTCAACTTACGACCGGTTGGGGGTCGCGGCATTAAAAAGGTTGAGAACCTCTGATTTAGAAGTTCTGGCTATAGTCTTTTGAAAACCACTGACTTTATCTTCAATGGTATTCAGAGCTTAAGTAACTTCAACCTTGGTAATGAATTAGTATAATCATTATAATTGTTATCCTAATAATCCAAGCCCATAGAACTGAAATTCTTGCACAATTCAATTCCACATAAAGAAAAACAAAGGAAGACCAGATACGCTGATAAGATTTTTTTATGTTATTCCAATAAAAAATACATTCATACAGAAATATAACAATCTTGCAAAAAACAATTTCAAATAAAATCTTGTAAAACAAATTTTTTTACAAAAATCTTACAAAGAGATTCTTTAGATAATAGGGTGCTTCCAAAAAAAACCCAAAAAACAAACAAACATAAAAAGAAATTTTACGAATAGAAATTCTTTTTTCTGAAATTTCAAGCAATTTTTTTTCTTTCAGCTTGATTGAGGCTCAGTTATCACCTGAACAAAATGTACTCATTTAACTACAAAACTGATTTCTAACTACTGCAAGAGATTTTTTTTTTCAAAAAAAAAAAAAAAAAAAGCAAATGATTATGGCTAAGCAGAAAACATTGCAATCTTACCGTCTCAAATACAATGCTGGAGCAGAAAAACCTGTAAAATGCCTTGATCAAAGGGTGAGTATTGTAATTCATACATGCAGACAGATATTTCCCGATCTACGGTATTTTTTTTTTGTCTATGAAATGGCATCTCTCAATGCGGTAAAAAGTGCCCTGCATGTATGAAGCGCCATACATCTCAGACTTCCATAATCCGTAGATAATAAAAATATTTTCTTGGGAGTATTTTTTTTTTAAAAAACAAAAACTTAAAAAGTGCATTTTTGAGCATATAAAATTCAAAACGCAATGCAGATAAATGTAGGCCTATATATCTCTTAGACTTGGATAAAATGGATTTGAACATGGTTAGAGGACTAATAATATTCACCATCATTTTCAGAGGGAAAAAAGCTGCCCCAAAATAGCTATAAATGAGCTACATTCTTGTGGAAGGCAGCTTGGAAAACACATTGGCTTAATGTTTGGGGAACGACTATTTCTAACATCTCGTAAAACTGCCTTGTGAATTCAGCTAAAAGGTAAAATACCCGTAGGAATAAATTCACCATCAAGGAGCACATTTCTACATCTTTTCAATAAGCTTAGAGGACAGAAACGGAGTGGCTGGGATTCATTTATTTAATCTTAGTGGAAAGTGTCCATTTTTAAGTAGCCCTCAATGGATTGCTCCCATACGATGCAGAAATGGCTAAGCAGGCACCCTTAGCCCTTGGTGTTCCAATTCAATGCCCTTTTTTGGGGGGGGAGGGAGATGAAGAGCTCACTGACCACCATCAAGAAAAGCATGAACTAGCAAGAGAAGAAGCAGAGGGCAGCAAAAACCAAACCTACAGACAAAAGTCCAAAGAAAGATGAACATGCTTGTTGGGTGAATATAGGAGAAAGGAGCTAACTTTCTTAAGAGCTTCTAAAAGGATTTTTGTTTTTCTTTAAAAGCAGCCAAGGGTCTTGCACTAATGAAAAAAATTGGAAGAAAACCAGCAGAAACCATTTAAGTCCTGCTGTTTCCCCAGAGGGGCTCCAGTGCACTTTATTTGGACACCAGGACATTTTTTTTTTTTTTTAGTGTACAAAAGTGCTTATAGGGAAGTAACTGCGTTCTCTTGTTAAAAACTGTGCACACTGATTGAAGCTCTTCCCTCCTTTTCAGGTCTCTGCTAAAAGTTTGCAAACAGTAATGATAATAATAAAAGCTGACTTTTGTTTGCTTCTTCTCCATGAAATGCAAGAAAGGAGGAAGACTCCTCGCAGGCTATGACACTTTACAGCAAAAAACTCAATACAATCCTTAAAAATAATAAATTATCTATATATTTTATAGATGTACACACACACACACACACTCACACACACACTCACAAATATACATGCACGCACACTCACAGCTACAGATACTATACACACAAATAGATATATACATACGTTATAGATATCCTGCCCACTTGATAATTACTAATATTTTTTTTTGCTTTTTTGTATTTTTTTTTTGTTTACTTTCCATTTTAATTAAAGGGAAGCTACATATACAAGTGTGGACATTGTGCCTTTTAAGAAATCTTTTTTTTTTTCCTTGTAGTTACTCCTGCAATTTTAAAGATGCATGAGCAAAATACAGCATCCTGAGTACAGGATCTTTTTGGTGGAGAAAGGAACTAATAGATTTGTTTTCGATAATTTCTTGAATGGGAAGAGAGAAGGATGCAGGCTAGGGACATGCTGTGCAAGATCAACCTTGTGAAAAGATGGACTCAGAGATGCATTCGCTGCTGGATTATGCCATGACATTTTCGGTACAGATGTTTATATGGGGGGCTTCTCTACATGGAAACGCTGAGGATCACCCAGGATACCAACTGATGGTCTTCCCACCTCTTCATAATGTACATTAGGTATAGTACAAGTGTCAGGTGAAAAGAGAGCCTTAATAAAGCATATATCATTCATACCCCTGTATAAGACCTCCCAAAAGAGAAGTTTGATTTGCATAAGGCACCATTATTAAGGTCAACAGTGCATTAACAGGTAGAAAACCAGAAATTAGACCTCAAGGCATAAATAAAAGATAAGAAGGTAGGTGTTGGAGGCAATGGGGGAAACAGCTGCATGAGTTTCTTTTTTTTTCTTTTTTTTAAATATCCATCTCTAACCTACAGTGGTTCTGTCCACCCAATAGGATGAAGTAAAAAATAATTCAAGGGAAAAAAAACACCATTGGGGTTTTATGTTATGTAACATTAAACCAATTGCAGTGTAGGAGCTTTGAACTGGAATTGGAGAAAGAGAGAGAAAAAGAGAGGGAGAGAAATGGCAGTCCTGATTACAGAATGGGAAAGCATTTAGTTCTTCAGAACCATGCAATAAACCTTTGTATTATAATGAAAAAAGCTATAGGTTGTGTTATATTGTAAATACACAGCTTATACAATGGATTACAAATGAGCTCTGTAGCAAGTCAGACAAGCTACCGGAGACATTGCACATTTAATAGCTGGACCAGACACCAAAAGCTCCTTTCACACAGGATAGGGGCCCATGCCAACATTTCTCTAGTCTGATTTTCCTTCCCTCCCTTTCATCTCCCCCTTCAGAAACCAAAAATAAAATAAAAAAAGGTGCAGAGACCATTTCCCCCTCCCCCTTCAAAAGAATGCACATCCTTCCATCTTACATAACACTCTTCACATGCACGCCCCCCCCCAAGTTAAAAATAAAATTTAAAAAAAATCCCACGTTCAGACAGCTTTTTCTCTCTTACAGTTAGAAAACAACAAGGAACAAACGTGTTTTTTTTTCTTTAAAAAAATGTGCCTCAGCATCCAGTCATCCAGTAGATCCTCCATAACACACAGTTGTCCATTCACTAACACTCCCAGTTTGCTCACGGCAGGTGTCGGAAGCCATTCGGAAGGTTTGGTCCCCTGGGCTGGAGACCTGCACCGTATGGTCACTGCAGCCATTTCTTACATGACTTATCTAGCCCTCTAAAGACCTTCCAAGGAAGAGAAGACCTGGAGGCCACGGAGTTAGGGTGCAAAATGGCATGCTTTGGCTGGAATATGCATCCTTTCTTCCAAGGCCAGCTTGACCTCAAAGCCTCTTAGCCCACAATCATTCAGAGATGTCTCTTCATGTGAAGAGCCAGATGGTCAGACCTGGAGAAGCACCTGTCCATCAACAAAGAGAAGATAGTTAAGGTTAGGTTTAAATGGGGTTTTCAAGAAATATGCTGGATTTAGGACACCCAAAGGCACTTTTTTTCCAAGAAGCAACTGGACTTTCTTCATTTTTCCTTGAAGACATTTCGCTTCTCATCCAAGATGCTTCTTCAATTCTGACCATCAGAACTGATGAAGCTTCTTGGATGAGAAGCAAAATGTCTAAGTATGGTAGACATTTGGATTAAGATAGATTATTGGAACTCTGAACTTACTGACAACTCAGAAAGACAGGAATTCCAGATGGACAATTTGACTACAAGGTTCTTGAACTATTTCTTACTCTTGATGCATTTCTCGTAAAATGAGAATATTAGTCACCTTCCTCATTCATGACTGATATGTTATCAACTGCAAGCTATGCATCATGTTTAATTACAGACACCTCAAAGGGTTGAATAACTCCCATTACAATTAATCCAGCGCAGCAAGATACTGCCTGCTAAATGTGCAAAACAGTGGAAGGATCACTCCGCCACGTGTCTGGAATGCACAGTACTGCATTGTAGCTAAAGGTTTTGCTAGTGAGCTGACATTTCAGCACACTGATTGTGATCTTGTCAGCCACCAGCCAAGTAAACATCTACCTTTATTATATCAGCAAATTAACATTGCAACAACTCATGGTAACAACAATGCAGTGAAAATTGCTCTTTCTTTAATTCAGAAACTATCCAGAAATTATTGCAAATACAAACGTTCCAACTTCATTATGAAGCTGGAACACTTCCAGGAAAGTTGGAAAAGCACTGGCACATTTCTGGTAAGGTTAAAACAGAACACTTCAACTTTGGGGTATTTGTACATCAAACTTTTGCATATCTCTTTCTATGTGCAAGGGACAATTGTAAGAATAGAACTTCCCAAAATAGAGGTTCACATTTTTCTCCTGAATAAAAGAGGTCCTGTTTATATTTAAGATAAAACAATACTATTGGCATCAACAGAGCTAGATGAAATTTGTTGCTTTCTAAGCATGGGGGAACAAAGTAAAATAAAACAAGATTCCTTCTACATACCTGTCACAGTGATTACACTTAAAAGGTTTTGCACCCGTGTGCTTTCTGAAGTGTCTGGTTAGTTCATCACTCCTTGCAAAACGCCACTCACATCCTTCCCATGAGCATCTGTAAGGCTTTTCTCCTGCAAAACAAAAACAAATAAACAAAAAACCCAGCACCATATAGGAAACAAAGTTGGTTATTCTATAGTTCACTACGTACTTTCAAGAATGCTAATGGAAATTTTGTTTCTGAGCTGATAGCTTTCCTCCAGCAGTAAAGTATCCCATCCTGACAAAAGATTCCAGTAATCTAAATTTTCTGGAATCCTCTGATTCTGAAAATGATTTTATTTTATTTTTTTACAAAAGGTCTGAAAACTCACCATGTACCTAATCATTTGGTTCAATTAAGAACTGTTTTCAGATTATCAGATTTACAAATGCTTTATAAAAATGCTTCATTTCTTTGGGCCCTACTTAAAGGAGAGGTGTCAATAAGGGTATAAAACCATATTCTTAAGAGTCCACTGGACTGAGATGGCTAATAAATCTAAAAAATAAATAGATTTTGCTTACCTTATTAGAACAATGGTTTTGGTTTCAACCATTTCCATCTTCACTCGGAACACTTCCTTAGCAATGAACTTAAAATAAGAGGTCTGTAAACTCTACCCTACAAGTTATGTTTCCTGCATTGTTTTGTTTCTCTCTGTAAATATCCAGTAAACATTGCAGATGCTTTATATGGGCCAAATGGTGGGTGGAGAAGAAAAATAAGGAATAAAATCATCCTTAGTAGCACACTGAATTTAACATTTTCCCCCCAACTGCATTTAAGTTATAGGTTCTGGGTAAATGTTGTTTCCTCTTTTCCTGATAACTATCATACATATTCACTTTCAATTTTATAGCACAATGACATAGAACACCATCATCCTTTTTTTCTTTCCCCTGCTTACCCAAGGGTTAATTGGTAAAGTAGAATAGTTCTCCCTTTAAGATGTGAAAACAGCATTTATCAGAAGGAGGAACCCTTTTAGCTTGCCTCAAAATGTACAGCTTTGCTGTGCATATTTATAAGTGATTTGGTGCATCTAACCACGAAGTCATTAAAAGCAGAAGAATATTTATGGTCAAAAGCAGCCATGGCAGCTTCTTACACTATAAAAAATTTATATAAGTTCTGATTCCACTCCACATCTTTTCAGACTGCTCTAGGGACCAAGAATGTATTATGACATTTGAGTTTCACCAGGATAAAACTCTGTAGGTTTGTCATGAATGGAAATGCACCACTATCAAATGGTCATAAATCAACTGTAATATTTCAAGGAAATGATGCATGTGCAAAGTTAATCTGCAGCACAAATACTACAAGTGAACCAGAATTAAGCAAGCATTTAATTAGGGGTTATTGACTAAACTATAATTGCTTTGGATCACATAACCTACTAACCATATGAAAGTTTAAGATGATATGGAATCCAACCTATTTTAAGATGTTTTAGATTCTTCTTTACTAAGAAATTCTGGGTTTTCCTTTTTGTTATCTAATTTTAGATTTATCTCCCTGTTTTTACTGGATTTTTTTTTCCTCTGAGAAAAGATGAAGTAATTATTCACCTTCTCAGGCATGGGGTAATTTAACCAACAGAAACCAGCCATGCACAAACAAATAAATGAACCAGACAGTTTAGATACAAATTTGCAACAGGCTTATGGAAAAAGAATGAGGAAGTGAGGACTTGCATTCTGGGAAACTTTAGCTGGTATTGCGTTATCTAATGGCCCTGAGTTCTTGCTTGAGAAATTGTGTAAGACTATGACACTGAAGCATCAAAGTCTTCTTTAGCATTATCTGCTAGAGGCAGTTCGGAAGCTAGCCAATTCCAAATGGCCATCTGAACATTAGTGTTTTGGGGAAACACTTCATAAGATTCTTCCTTATGATATTTTGTGCATGCTGACCATGAAAAGCAAAAGATATGAGACAGAATGGTTACACCATAAAGTATGAACCAGCAAACAGCTGGAGTAGACTTTGTAAAGTACAAGTGGATGGAAACAACCACTAGCAAATCACATTTTGAAGGTGCAAGACATCGAAAAATATATTAAGAGGAAATGGACTGCAAAGGAAATAGGAACTGGGAACAAATGAAATTCCCTTCTTGCACTCATCTCCTGCCTTTCTCCACAACGGATGTTGCAACATTTCTATGGAGGCGTTCTACAGGGAATACATGCAGCTGCACTATGCATTCAGTTCCTGGTCTAAGCCTTTCCTGGCCAAGAGTCACAAAACCATGAATTATGGAAATATACATGATGCAACTGGACACCATCTCATTTAAGAGACATTATCCTAAGGTCAATAAATGCAGTACAGAAGGCAAGACAAGTTCATCAGTCCTAGGGGCCATATGAATACTCACCTGTATGGGTACGCTGATGTGCTTTCAGATGTGAACTTTTGGTATAAACCTTCCGGCACCCATTGAAGTGACAGCGATGAACTCGCCTTCTCCCATCAGGAGAGGCATCACCATTGACCAGGGTACCTTTTTCCACAGTCTTTCCACCAGTACCAGTACGGATTTTGCCAGGTGAATGCAATTCACTGGGGGCACAATTCCATGGTTGAGAAGATGGCTCCTTGCCCAGCTCAGGGGAAGAAGGAGGAGTAGAAGTGACAGATGAATTCAAGTTTCCAGCACTGGCCAAGCTTAAGACATCATTTATGATATCCGAGGTAAATTTTGTTGTAGGAGAAAGTTCCTCGGAACTATCTGAAGATTCACTACTAATATCAGAATTCAGACTGTTAGTCTCTAAAGTCTGATTATTAAGGTTGTCCTCCTTTGGAGCACTTGCTGTCTTTAGTTCAGATTCCTCCTTTTTCTCCCGTGCCAAAATAATTTTGGTCCACAAATCCTCCTGACTGTCAAATTTTATTTCAGAGGCAGACACGTAGCAGGGCTCACTCTGAAGATATCGCTCCAGCTCTAAGCAAGTCTACAGAATTAAAAATACATAAACAGATATTTAAAAAATCATTCACATCTAAGAACATTCTGAAAAATTTAGCAGGAAGCCATGCACACTTAAAGTTGGAGATTGTATTTCTGGTTGCTAGTGTACTTTAAAGTTAAAGGCCTTGCAAGTTCCAACTGATGAATGTTCCAAGAAACAGTGTAATTCTCATGAACTTGTCAAGAATGCACAGTCAAAAATAGTAACCCTACATTCTACATTCTAACAAGCTACATTCTTTAAGCATTCCCCTTATGAGTTAACTAAATAGGCATCTCATAAAAACATTTCAGTGGGATTAGCTTTAAAGTAAATGCTAACTTCTCCAAATTTTATTTAGGTTATTTTAGTAACTAACGTTGTCTAGAAGAAAAAAACCTCAACTGAACTTCCACTAAGTGGACAAAAATTATGGTTTGCACTCTAAATTTAAGTTGCATATGTTGTGATAGATTTTACATCTTTCAAGCTAAGACATTTCCTGCACATAAGAACTCAGCCTAAGGGAGATACTGAAAGAACGTTCAAATATACAGGAATGATGAGTCTGTTGTAAAATGAGGCATTTCTTGCAGAGAGAGTAGGAACATCATCAGCAAAACCTCCAGATTGCTAACAGGATATTGAATGAAAGAGACAAAAGGAAAAAGCATGGGAAACTGCAATTTTTAAGGTCCTAATGCTGATTCCAAAAATGAAGAACTTTATCTGCTGGTCAAGAGTAGCTTGGTTATGAGTCATTCCCTTGTTTCTTTTACTCAGTGCCAAAAGAGACTTCCTTTTAAAATTTATGACTCTCTGCCAAGAATGCTCATGGTTGAAATCTACAGGCAGTAGGACAGATTTTTTAAAAAATTCCTCCACTAAGACACCAATAGGACAGTGAACAGCATAGTGAAAGGCTGGCCATGCTAATCCTCTGGATTGTATTAATAATCAGATTCTAGGCAAAATGGTCAGTCTAGCATGAGCTATGTGATTTTTCAGTAACAGCCCTTCCTCCACAATTGTGTGAGTGAAATAAAATGCTACACACAAACATGCACGCACACACCATTTCAGCATCAATTTAAATTGGTCATAGTATCCTGTACACTGCTTCTCCTGAGAATTAAACATACCCTATCTGGACATAAGCTTTATTAAACTGAGAAACTTAGGCAAAGATGCAGAAAAATAAATTTTACGTTGCTAACATATTGGAGGAGGGGATGCACAGGGGAAGAGAAAGCAAAATATATTCTATCCGATCATTTTAGGTTCCCCTATAATGATTGTAGCAAACCTTCTAATATCTTGCAAAGGTACTGACCACAGAAGAAAATGTATGGAAAGAACAGGTTTGACCTTTATTTCTGGGAAGAAAGGGGGGGGGGGCTAAAATGATTATGAAGGCTACAAAGAGCCAAATTTGGGTTTTAGAAAAATCACCCAAAAACATCTTGTTAAACCCATTATTAGGGAAAAAGGAAGACAAGCATGTGTTATAAATCTGCCAATCCTCAGACTTAAGAAGATTGGTAGAGTTTCATATTTCAACCTCCAAAATCAGGTTTTCAAGCCTTACAAATGGAAACCCAGATGAATTAAATTGGGTTACAGAGAGCAATCATCACAGTAATGGAGGCAAGTAAACATGTCTTCTCAGTCCCACATTCGAGGGAAAATCCCAAGCAAGGCAAAAACATTTTCCAGTGTTTGGAATCCAATGACATGGACTGAAAAAAAAAAAAACTTGTCCATTAAAGGCAACATGCCTCAGATTTTCCTCTATTAGGACTTATAAGGTGAAGGGGGGGGGAATAATTGTCATATGACTGACAACTCGTTCTGCGGGGAAGGGGGCTGTTTTAAAAAAAGCTGTACATAAGCCTAACATAAAAATAGTACAGTACTGAAAGAGAGGATTCCCCCCCCCATTTTTGCGAGAGGATGTTCGGCGGGGGGAGGGGAAGCACGGAGAACAGTATTTCCAAACACAGAACTGTTCGGATGACAAGTTCTCCTTATAGCAATTGGCTTTGCTTCAAAAGGGAGGGGGGGAACAGAGAGGAGAGGGGGAAAGTTGTTTTTTTCTCTCCCAAGAGTCGGGACAGCAAATGGGAAAGGGAAAAACTTGGGAATCCGATTCGATTCCATTGTATGATTTATTTAGAATAGCCAGCTTTCATTCTAGGGGCTTGAGGTCTGCCTGCATCGATGAAAGCTGGGCACAGCGAGAGCAAACGAGCGTTCAAACACCACACACACACACATACACACACACAGCGGCTGCTCACAAGTTCTGACAGCCACGTCCACTGAGAAGGGGGAATGAGAACCGGCATGCATTGGAAAAAGGAAATAATTAAATAAATAAATAAATAAATAAATAAATAAATAACACATGTCCTTCGCTTGCTAAGGGCCCAGATTAAAATAGCTTCTCCCCCCACCCACCCCCCCAACCAGAACCCTTTCAATGACATTCATATCTTTCTTTGAATTTCGATCTTTGCCCTGAAGCATTCCTGATCCGGGCAAATAAATATATATATACATTTTTAAAGAAGCGCTGAAGCTTACGCATGCCTGTGGTCCCCAACGTTAAAAAACCGAAATGGTTGCAAACATAGCCCATCCTCCTTTACCTGTTGCCAGTATTCCTCCAGAGATGGCAAGGCAGAGAAGTAACCAGTGTCGTGAACAATCTGGAGTTCCTGAAAGATGCTACACATTGGAAGTACATCCATGCCTTTCGTGGGGGGAAGGGGGGACGGGTAGGGAAGAAAAGTTGCAACCAGGAGCCCTCCGCAAAGACAACGTCCGAAAGCTGGGGTCCTTTTCGCTGGTCGGAAGAACGGAGCAGCGCGACAGAGGTCTCTGGCTCCGGCTCTCGGCTGTAATCGCCACAGCAGGTGATGGTGACAGAAATAAGACCAGCTATTTACAAAAGTCTCACTTCCTCCTCCTCCTCCAAAGAAAAGACCACCGAAATCAAAGCAAAAAATCAAGAAAAAAAGGGGGGGAAATCATTCAGCAGAAAGTACGTTAAGGGGGAAAAATAGCAATCTACCGCTAGATATATATTAAATTCCTGTTCAGAATTTCAGACCAAGTTTTTATATAGGTATATATTTATATATATTTATATATATATATATATATAGACGTATATATATTTTAAATAATATAAAAAGCAAAGTTTCATGCAAAGTTTAATTGCACAGCAATAGATCAAGGTTCTTTTGGCCTTTCTCTTTTGGCTGGTTGGCTTTTGTTGTTTTCTGTAGCTTTTGCAGAGTCTCCCCGATGCTGCTGTTGAGATTGCCTTCCACTCCTGGGGCTCTCTCCAGAAGATAGTTGCTGAGAAGCCTACTCAATATTTGCAAACACCGAGGTGACTGCAAATGTAACCCGCTGCAAAAGTTCCCTTTCAAAAGCTCTCCTTGGCCGTCACCTCCCCCTCCTTCTACTCCCTCCTCTTTTCTCCCCCTCCCTTCTGCTGAAAGCCACATTCGCTCCTCCCCTTTACTCCTCTCCCTCCCTCCTCCCTCCGCCACCTCGTGATCCCATTACGCCGGCTCTGAATGCTGCCCAATCCATAACAACAAACTCGTTACACCGCGTTCCAATGATGTCAGACTAGCCCAATGGCCGCGCGCGGCGCATCTCGGCTCCTCCTGGCGTGACCGAACTTCTCCGTGACGCCTCACCCCATTGGTCCGATTCGAAATTCGACCCGTCCTGATTGGCCCTGAGATTGAGAGGCTATTTTTAGAAGGGTATATAAGACTGGAAAGCCGTTTTAGAGAAGCGACTCAGAGTCAGAGCGTTTGCTTTTTGTTTGTCGTTGCTGGGGGTTGGGGGGGGGAGGATGCTGTAATACCGAAAGCGAAATTGAGAGGCGCTGCTAAGCCGCGCATGGAGCGCTTGGAGATGAAGATGTTAAGCAATTTGCCCAAGCTGCAATAAACAAGCGGAGGCAGGGCATGATATCAAAGCAGGCTATTTGGTCTGCAAAAAACCCGGACGATTGCTAGATCTCAAGACGAACTTGTGGGAAGTTCTTTGTCCTGCCATCTAGTGGCCGTCCGGATTTTGGAAACATTTAGAAAAATATCCGGGTGCATTTTCCGCAGGAAAATAATTTTTCCTTTCGTGTGCACATGCACGAGCCTTCTTTTTCCATTCCCCCCCCCCCCAATTTTAACGCTGCTCGCTTGACTCTGTATTCTTCATCCCCTGCCTTATGCTCCTCTTGGCACGGTTTCTCAGGTTGCAGCGCAAATCTCAGCCCTTTGCTCCCCCTTTCTGAATGAGCAGAAAGAGCCCCCACTCCCCCCCAAAAATACTTCAACATGTTTCACATAGTAGCTTAACTGGAATCTGGGGGTCCGTTTCCCCCTCTGGATGACAATGTACACACTAAGTGACTGAAGGCAGTTTGTAGTTTCGCTTAACGTTCTCGTGCCAAATGTGTCTTTTAATCCTCGTTGTCAATAACTGCTTTCGTGGAGGTGTGTATTATTTATTTGGAGTTTTACCTTTTCTCTTGTGGAGCTCCATAGAACATTATGGTACAATAACAGCAAAAAAAAAAAAACTTATAAAATACTTCCTCTCCCCCCCCCCTTACGTTAACCATCAACTGGCGGGCAGTCTGCTTCTATTAAAAGAAGCTTGCATGATGGTTTTGGAGATGATGCATATATAAAATAACCAGAATGCTTTTGTACTAAGAGCGTGATCTCAGAGTCCAAAGATCTTTTAAACAGTCCAGTGTAGTCAGAAATGAGGCAACCGCATCATGAAGCCCATTTTGTCACCTCTGGACATCCTGATTGTTAACAAGTCGCTTTTTGGGGGGGGGGGAGAATCATCTCCTTTAAATCAGCCCTGGCTCCTGCTGACTGTATGGTTGTGTCTGTTTAAATTTCTTGTGAACAAAAGTGGTTTGCCATTGTCTTGGGATATTTTGTTAAAAGTTGGGATTTCCTACTGATTTTCCAACAGGGACTTATTTTGTCAAGATCCGCAAGAAACACACTTGCGTTACCAACACTTGGCATTTCAGAAGTAAAAGAACAAAGGTTAATATATCAAGAAGCACTCCATATTTAAAGCATACGTTTTTAAAAATGTGTGTCTGGCTTGATTGCAGATAAATACTGGACTTAATTACCCAATTTATCACCAAATCAGACCCTTCCTTTTTAAGATCAAGCAAGGTTGGCTAGCTTGTAAGATGTTAACAATGGCTTTGGTGTGATCCTGGTGCTTTTTATAAGTTCTGGCCAGTAACTTAAAAATACCATATATGCCGGCGTATAAGACGACTTCCAGAAGTGCTAAACTCAGCGCCAAAGACGGGGGTTGTCTTATACGCCAAGTCGTCTTATACGCCGGAAATACTGGTAGTTTCCGGCATATAAGACGACATTCTAGGAATGCGGCTCGGTGACAAAGATGGGGGTCATCTTATATGCCGGGTCGCCTAATACGCCGGCATATACGGTAACTTTAACCAGGGCTTTTTTTCTCATAGAACACCCAGAACGGAGTTCTGGCACCTTTTTTGGATGGAACCTTGTAGGGTAGGCAAGGCGGCTTGTATGACATGTGTGAGTTCTGGCACCTTTTCTTTTTACAAAAAAACCCCTGCCTCTAACCAATATGTCTCATAGTCAAGGATATAGGAATCGCTGTTTTACATACAAGTAATCCTTGTATTTAGTGTTTGTTCAAAGTTACAATGGCATTGAAAAAATGACCATTTTTCACACAACATTGTAGCATTCCACTGGTCACATGATCAAAATTTGAACACTTGGCAACAGGCAAGTATTTATGATTGTTGCAGTGATCCAAGGTTACGTGATCACTTTCTGAGACCTTCTGAAAAGCAAAGCCAGTCGGGAAGCCAGTTCACTTAACAACTGTAGTGATTCATTTAACAACTGGCAAAAAAGGTCGTAAAATGTGGCAAATCTCACAACTATATTGCTTAGTAACATAAATTTTGGGCTCAATTATGATCATAACTCAAGGATCACTTGTATAGGGATTGCCATTTCACAAATAGGAATTATTGGGGCACCGCATTTTGCTAATTCTTAAACCATGAAGTAAAAACCACAGTGACTAAGTCCAGTTTTATTGCAAGTTGATAAATATAGTTTCTAGAATCCCACCAGTAAAATGCCTCTGTGATTTAGCAGAATCAATGAATTTAGCTAAATTCAGATAAAGATAGTTCTTGACTTATTACTACTTACTGGAGGCTAAAACATATAAAGAATGGTTGCTGGAATTGGGTATGTCTAGTTTAATGAAGAGAAGGACGAGGGGGACATGATAGCAGTGTTCCAATATCTCCAATATCCAATATCTGCCACAAAGGAGAGGGAGTCAAGCTATTTTCCAAAGCGCCTGAGGGTAGAACAAGAAGCAACGGATGGAAACTAATCAAGAAGAGGAGCAACCTAGAACTAAAGAGAAACTTCCTGACAGTGAGAACAATTAACCAGTGGAACAACCTGCTTCCAGAAGCAGTGAATGCTCCAACACCGGAAGTTTTTAAGAAGAGACTGGACAGCCATTTGTCCGAAACATATAGGGTTTCCTGCATGAACAGGTTTGGACTAGATGACTTCCAAGGTCCCTTCCAACATTATTGTTATTATTATCTCTTAGCGAGTTTTCAAAGTTGGCAACAGACCCCCTGAAAAGATACTTACAAACAAATTCTGAAGTTCCAACAGCCCCTCCCTAAAGTCACATGACCACATTCCAAACATTCAGCAACCAGCCTACATTTTTAGTCATTTATGGCACCCTGCAAGTCATGTGAGCCAAATTTAGGTTATTTTTGCTAAAAACAACACTTACTTCCAGTTTTCAGCAAAAACACCCTGTAGCAAACAAAGGGTTTGCTTAACAACCACAGATTCACTTAATGCCTGTAGTGATCCGCTGAATGACTGGTGCAAAAAAGTTTGTAAAATTGGGTCGGTCACATGACCCGATTTACAACCATCGTGACTTATGACTAATGGCTAGGCTCCATTATGATTGTAAGTTGAGGAATTATAACTACAATGTGTCATATGCAGCATTTGATAGCCAAAGGGAAAAGAAAATCTTGCAGTCAATTTTCTAAGGGCTTACCACCTTTTGTGGGTCCATATCCTTTGTTGCTAGTGGCAACTGCATCCTCAGGGACCTAATAAAAAGCAAAGAAAGGTGGTATCATAAGAAGAAACCTTAAATACTTTTCTCACATTTGCAATGAGCACCATCTTGCAATGTATCTTGTGTGGGAGTATCCTATGACTATCACCAAGTGTTGCATCTTATGATTTGTGATGAACTATTGTATTTTACAGTTTATGATGAATGTATTTTCATGCTGTTTATGATCATGATTATCACTATTACTTGTATGTACACTGAGAGCTTATGCACTGGAGACAAGTTCCTTGTGTGTCCAACCACATTTGGCCAATAAAGAATTCTATCATTGTGGTCTTCCAAAGCAAAGGTTGGTGTTCTCTGAATGCATTTGATTATGGAGAAGTTTCTTTCTGTATCACTGCTTGCCGCAAAGCAATTGGTATCGTAGAGATTATTATTACTTTCATGTCCTGTGGCGCTTGATCATGTCAGCCCTCCCAACAGGGAGTTATCACCAATGGTGTGACAGCATGATTTATCACTAGTGTCCACAAAGAACAGAAGCAGTGGAAGAAGGAATGGCTATGCATACAAGAGCATAGAATTGGAAGGGCAGGGATGAGCATTTGGAAACCAAAGCTGCATCAGATCCTTAAAATCTGGGATAGGAGTGGAAATTTAAGCTGAGACATGAGAGAGAAATAATTTTTATGCAACATTTAATTAGTATTGATTAAACTCTGTTCTCTGGAATTAACCGAGTTTTCTGGGCTTATACACCAGTCTGAGCCATCATCTAAACATGGGATCCTGAGTGCTTGCATCACTATGAGCCAAACCAGATGACTACATTAAAGTGCTATTTTCTTTTCTTGTGGCAGTGGAAAAGTATGCTGGGATAAGCTGTCGTCATTGCTAATCTCTGTTCTGCTTTATTGTCATGCTTATGTCTTGTATTGCTCTTAATGTGGGACAAGTTAAGGAAAGTAATTAATTGCTGGGTTTTCCCTGGCTTTGTTTTCCTACCAAGAATTGCAGGAAAGCAGTCACTAGTTGCTCTGCTTAAAACCTTTCCAGTGTGGAAAAGGTGTAAAGTGGGATGGGGAGGTGATAGACAAGTGTAAGTGGGTGCTTGGATCTATGTAAAAATAGAATATTACTGAACAGGAGTCCAGTTTACTTCTAAACAAGAGCTAAAACCATGTCCCAAATCTAGCATGGATGGCAAGTTACAGGAAAGCCTCAGGGTGAAGTGAGAGGGAGCAACTGCTGATGAATGAG